CGCTCCTCCTTTGCCTTGCCAGCACCAAGATGCATGTCTCGCCCGTTCTGCGCTGCAAGCTCAACGAGCGCTTCTGCTCTCGGCTTCCTCAGCTTCTCATACAAGCGAAGTGCGTGCTCGATGGTCTGCGGCTTTCCGTCCGCGATACGCTTGGGAGAAAGCACGACGCCCAGCACAGCGCCGTCTTCAATCGCTTGAGCTGCACCTTGGGCCATGTGCGGGAGCGTGGGGTGGCAAGCGTCGCCGACCAGGGCGGCTGTACCATGCACCCACGTTACCAACGGATCGTGAACCCGTAGCTTCCATTCCACAACTTCGCCCTCTGGCACCAGGTTCAACATGCGATGTATCATCGGACAAAAATCGCCGTAAACGACCAACATGGCCTTCTTGCTGCCTTTAGTTGTATATTGCGCATCTGGTGCCCCAGCGAAGTTGATATCAGGCTGTGCGGTGGAGATGTTGTAAATTTGCTTGTTGTGGATTGGATAAGCGATGATGTGTTTCTTCTCGCCGATCCAGCGTGTTACTGTGTCGGACTCGATCAGTTTGAGCAGCTCAGGGTCGTTCTCCATTTGGTCTCGTGTCAACATGATGCGGTATGCAGCTTGGCCTGAGTCGCAAGCTGCGCCGGTGTGACCGAGTTCCTTGAGCATGGCGACGCGAGTAGAGCTCTTAACGCCGTCCGCACCGAGCAAGATGTCGCATTCGACTTGTTGTGGCTCTCCGTTGCCCTGAGCTGGTGTAATGGTGAACTTTGGCTTCGCCCCAAACTGTACGTTGGATACGTTGCAACCCAGCTTGAATGTGATGCCACTTTCCTTCTTGCAACCCTCGTAGAGGCCATTTGCCAGACTCGCTCGATGGCCAACCATGTGTGGGTATCCATACTTTTCTCGCACGTACCCAAGATCTACGTACCCCAGCTCCTTGTCTGTCGAGCCTTCCCGAATTGATGTATTTGCGCATTGAACTGCCTCGTCGCGGATCGGTTCCCAGCAACCTAATCGGTCGAGGATGCGAGCCATATTTGGTGCGAGTTGGATGCCGGCGCCTACGAAGCCCATATTCGTTGCGTTTTCATATATCGTGATGTTCTTGTGACCGGCTTTTGCGAGAGATAGTGCTGCTGTTAGGCCGCCCATGCCTGGAGTACGTTAGCTATCATGATGGGATGGGCGATGTCATGTCGGGGATAACTACCTGCTCCAACAATCGCTATCCTAGTATTCTCTGCCATTATAGGAATACTGCCCCTCTGTCTCGCCACTTGATGTACAATACCTGCTGGTATGATAAAGATGGAGCGCTGCTGGTGCAATGTGGTTGCTGGTTGTTGTTGAGTTGGTTTCGCCGAAGACAAGCAGAGAACGTCCCGACAGCTCTTAAGATTCTGCTCAAACGTTTCTATATCTCGGTCTCTTGCTTTTGCTCCAATCCCTCCACAAGTTCCGAGCTCCTTCCCGCGCGTAATGTTCAGCCACCGGAAGATAGCTTAGCCGGAATGTTCCTACCAGGGCTTCCGAAGCTGCCTCCGAACCTTGAAAAGCACTACACGTCAATCTCAGTCGCAATAGCCGAAGTTTATCTAAGTCAACTCAGTAAGCACTTCTTCGATAAACATATATCGGGGAAGCTGTCGGCCCGAATACGTCCACGCCTGGGGAGCTTGCTATTCCAAGGTTGTCAGCTACCGGCTGCACACCCCACCGTGGCGGGGCAACGGTTAGCGTCTTTCCATCTCAGCGCCCCACCGCCATCAATGAACGCGCGAGATCCGGCAAATGCGGAGTCGCGGAGTGTGGGTGAGCCGTCCTTACATCTTACTATCGCGTCGGCTGTGATCGCACGATCTCGAGATAAGCTGAAGACGCTGTGCTTAGAGATATTGAAGATGCGCATGAGTCCCGACGCCAGATCGCTTCCACCACGCGGCAATATACCTTCAGGGACATGAACTGATGCTGCAGTTCCTGTAAAGCATCAATCGGGCATCACATTCGATGGCTTAAGCAGTTCGCGATTTGGCCAACATTATACCAACCTTTTCGCTCGTACACCATATGCCTGATAGGCCTTGTCGCCTACTTAGAGCTCTATCGACAGTCTCTTGTGAGCGTTCTCTCCAACGCTCGTCGCAACGACGCGTATAGAAAAGCCGCCGACCAGAAGTGCATGAACACATCGTGTTATTTGCTATTCGTTTAATGCGTCGCGATACGATTCATTAGAGCTGGGAAGTCTACATCGAGCCGCAAGTCTACTTCAGTCCCGTGGATACGCGATGGGGGGCTGTATACCCCGCGCTAGCTCAGGGCAAGATGTGGGGTGACTTCCCGAATCATCTCACGGGTAGACTGAGAATTTCGCATCTTTCGTGACTTCAACAACGATAACAGCTCATTCGTCGAAGCCTTTACGGACGACTGCTGTATGATCATTGGATCTGTGATCGAAGACGAACAAACACCTCATCATTACGTGTCGCGAAGCTCACGTAGAGGAAAAGGGTTCACCCGAAACTCTCTTTGATCTTCGGAACACGATCGGAAGACAGCCTGACCTTCGGTGTCAGATAAATCACCTGGAGCTTGCTACATCTGCAGTGGTGATCTAGAACAGGAGCTACGCGGAAAAGGCTTCTCCCTGTGGCCCAGCATACCTTCGCGGACAACAACTTCAAGAGGAAAAGGAGTACCCGGACCTGAACACAGCGACCCTCAATAATGGCTCGACGAAGCTCATTCGATCAAGCATCAGACGGCTTCCGGGCCCATCTACCAGACCTCAGCAGTCCCCGCTTCACGACGGCCGCAAAGCAAAACATCTACGAATATGTCCAGTCAATGCAAGACAACCGCGCCCCACCATGGCTGTACGATCTGACTAAAGTCTGGGAGAAGTTATTGGAAGAGCCGTACATAGGCATCACGAATGACGGTACTGTAAGGGAGGGTCTATATCAAGCACGAGACGAAGGTGTAGATGTTGATGGTCCAGTCAAGAAGGCAGAAGAACTCCTCGCAGCTCTAAGTAGCGAGCAGAAGGGCAAGATTTCATACCCAATCAATGCCAGAGAGTGGAGGGCATGGAGTAACCCAGAGTTCTTACTGCGACCATTTGGGCTCAGACTCGAGGAAGGTAAGTCTCAAATTTACCAACGCTACGACCTTAGGCTAACTGCTGCAGTCCCCGAGAGCATCGCGCAGTCAATACTCGCAGTGGTAGAGGCATCTCTTTCCCCGGAAGGCTACGAAAAGGCTATCGCGGCCATGCGAGTGAACCATTTCTTGGGCGAGGTTGTCAAGCTACCCAACATCTTGAACAAGTACTCTTACAATTTCCTGCTGTTTGGTACTCCTTCTACATCCGCTTCTTCGCCTTGGGGCTGGCTCCTCTATGGCCATCATCTCGACATTTCCTGCTTCTACAAGGGAAGCCAGGTTATCATGAGTCCATCGTTCACAGGAGCCGAGCCCAACATCATCGATGACGGAGAATGGAAGGGTACCAAGATATTACACAAAGAAGGCAGTCTGGGTTGGAAGCTGATGCAGAGTCTCAGCCACGAGCAACAACAAAAAGCACAGATCTTCAAGAAGATGAGAGATGAAGGCATGAAGCAAATCTACGGGAACTCCAACAATGACGAGACTAAGCGAGATGAGCTCATTACCGATACGTGGGGCCCAGATGACCAGCGCCATCGATGCGGTGCCTTCCGCGACAACCGCATCGTACCCTACGAGGGCGTTCTGGTCTCTTCTCTCGACTCGTCACAGCAAGAACTCGTCCTCGCCATATGTGAGGAGTTCCTGCTATACCATCCCACGAAGGCGCGCCAACACAAGCTCGATCAGATCAGACAACACTTGGCCGAGACCTATTTCTGCTGGATTGGTGGTTTTGGCGAGAATGATGCGTTCTACTTCCGTGTTCAAAGCCCAGTCATTCTGGTGGAATTCGACCACCACTCTGGTGTATTCCTGACGAACAAGGAGCCCGCAAAGTACCACACGCATACCATTGTAAGGACACCGAATGCGGGAGATTACGGACAGGCTATTAGAGAAGGAAATGAAAAGTTAGAGTGAGCAGGCACTGGATGCAATGTACATAGGGCGTGTCGCAAAGAGATACGTGGCACCCATGTCGTAGATCTCAGTTGTGAGGCGCATGTTGAATTATGAGAGGCTCCAATAACTACCATACCTAGCTTCCACTTCCAGGCGCCGGCCTGGTATCACCAACGAGATTCGTATACTTCACATCCACCTCGAGAACTCCAAACCATACATGTCGCCCATCCCTTTGCTCGAATCTCACCTCGCCCTCCAAAGTAACGAATTCCGCTTCCTCACCTGCCGGAAGATAATTCTCGATTACCCGTATTAAGTCTTGTTTAGCAACTTCATGTCTACGTTCTTGCTGTTCATCAGCATCGTTGCCTGCAGCAACCGAATAGTGAATAGCCACTTCTTCTTGTGGCATAGTGGGAATCCCGGCTATTAGTGCGAACATATTTCCGGCGTCATCATAGCGAGGAGTCTTAGCTCTTACGTACGTAAAACCTGGTCGTTTCTGAGTTGATAGATGATCGTAAGTCTCCACGTCGCCTTTGTAGGTTGTCGGATAGAGAGAGAAGCCGACGTGGATGTTGGGTTTAGCTGGGATGTCTTTTGGGTTTACGTAGCGGACGATCACGTAGTACTTTTCATCTACCTTGTAGGGGCCTTTGGGTGCCATGCTGAGGATTTTGACAGCGGAATCCGCGAGGGGGGAGTTGATTTATAGGCTCAGTGTTTGCCAAAGAGTGAGTTGGTCAGACCCAGGTGACACTACCAATCAGCTTGATCATACTATTCTCTGATGATAGCTTCAGGTGCCGATATGAACATCTAGATATGGTATCTATACGCAAAGGGATGAAAGACATAAGTGCGTGATGCTCCATTGATGCGACCTGTGCCAAATATCTTCTACTGTCTACCTGCACGGCCTCATGCGGTGTGTGCGTTGACATCATGGATCTGGAATCTGACGTGATAACGCTGGAACCCCAAACCATAACGAATAATAGCTATTCTATCAGCCCAGCCGTTGCCAGCGTTGAAATCTAAAGTCAGGTCGCCACATGGCATGAGCTCCTGCACAGCTGCTGCTACCTCCTCGCGCAGATCCTGCTCGGCCTCTATGCTCGTCCGTTTTGGTTTACTGAGTATCATAATTGATGTCTCGACGTCACGGGCTACTTCAGCCGTGATCATAGCCATGCCCCCATCTCCAACGAAGCAAGGGTTAAGCACGCAATTCCAGTTGATGTTCTGATTGGCAAAGAACTGGCGCTCCTCCAGATTTTGGAACCGCTGAGACCGAACCCGAACAAGCGGAATCAGGTCCTCACTCTGGTTTGTGGTGCGAGTAACCAGGTAGACTGAGGTGGACATCTTGGGTTATCTCGTGAAGAGGATGGGAAGTGGCGCGAACACATCCATGAAAACGGCCGGAAGTGATATACGAGTTGTGGGCTTGCTACATCCGGTCAGATGTCAGTCTTGAATGCTCTTCGTGGGCAGTGTGACCAGAACCGATCAGCCTCCAAGCCAAATCGCCAAATCGTTTGGACATATGCCACTGCCCAGGACGTTCCCAGCTCATATGCTTCAAGACTGCGAGCTGTCCATATTGAGCTTTAGCACTTTGAATCTGTTGTTGCTGCAGTACTTAGGCTTTCTGTGTTCCAAGATAGCCAAACGGAAGCAGCAGCTGCAATGGTCTAGTGGTTATGACATTCGCCTCACATCGAATGTGCGACGCGAAGGGTCCCGAGTTCAATCCTCGGTTGCAGTATTGTTTTTGCCATTCACACGTGAACTGGGCTGGGTCGTTGTTGGAGTTGTGACGGATCCAGTGCAGATGGCGGCCATTTGATCAGTGTTTGCTTGGCATCTTACACGTGAGTTCGGGAAGCTAACCTGGGTCTACTTTTTGGCCAATGCAAATCCTGCGGCATGGCATCCCTTTGTAAGTGAATTAGTTTCGTGTATTGCGATGCCAACACAAGCATGCGCACAGTGCTTGCATCGCGAAGTCAAATTACCAGCCTGAAATGGTTAGATCCGGAGTGGGGCGTGTGCTCATTGTTGACAGTCGAGACGTTGGAGAGTCATGGTCGGCTGTGATGCGGTCATGGTCTAGATCGCGATAATTTTCTTTCAATAAAACGTGGTGGGCATTAATGACGATGCATGTGTTGATGAAGCTGGTGGTGTTGACGCTGTGGTCACTCCACAGGACGAACAGGTTGCGGAGCTGCACGCTGACATCAGCGTCGCGGGATCCTCGGCCAGCCACGCGATGCGCGTGCTCACCCCACAATCGAAAGACTGCCATCTAACCACGATCAGCACACCACTAACCCCACATGGCCCAGTCTCGTCGTCTCAGCGTCCGATTGGATCTCGGTGGCAGCCGTTTCACCAGCCGAACCCTTTCCAGGCGGCACGCCAGGAGAAGCCGCGATACATGCGCGGCCGGGAAACCCTTTGAAGGGGAACACCCAGTGACCTGGTACGTCAGCGGCCTTTCTGTCTGGGGACGCGACGCGAGAATGCGTCGGACTAAGCTCATCAGTCCATTTGCGTCACGGAGCCCGGTGATGTCAAGTGCTGTGATTCGTGGTATGATGTACGGGTGTGGTGGAGAGACATGAGTGCACAGCCTACTTGTGACCTGCATTTCCCCGCACGAGGCTGTCGTATATACAGTCCGCATACGCCGCGCTTGGGACGTCTCACCGGAACACATTACACGTAGCAAGCCATCAATCAAACACCACACTACCGAAGTCAAACCGCGGCCGATACTTTCACACGTCTTGGCCATCACACCTACCAACATCAAACACAACCACACCTGGGCACACCAAGCGACAAGATATAAGCCGAGCCAAATTTACCATCTCGAGGAACCATCACCATACTCGGCACTACTTTCGCCACTACCACACAACCATCAACATGTCTTTCCTCCTCCGCACATCTACCCTGGTTCGCCAGAGGCTCTTCACCACTTCAACACGTGCTCGCAGTGCCATCTCCATGGAAGATGCCGCCGCAGCACAGATGACATCCACCCCTGGTGCGAGTGTCGTCCCAAGGCTCGGAAGGGTAGCACGATGGTACGTCTCTCCGTCTATATGATTCCCATCACCACTAACAAAGACCAGGTATCTCCCGACCATGGCGGCGGTAGCCATTGGTATGATCTACCTTCCCAAGACCGCATCACAGCCTCGCCGACCCCTTACGCTCGGTGATGCTAATGCCAACATAGGCTTTGGCGTTACCAATGCACTTAACGAGGCCAACCGCAAAGTCCACTCTGCGCTTGAGCTTACCCAGGAACAAAAGAACCAGATGCTCATGGACTCCTACGGCGAGCGCTCAAGCTTGGAGGACATGGAGCGGGCGATTGCTGGACTCGAGGCCAAGATGACCACCCAGAAGGACAGGAACAGGATCTTGGAAGAGGCATATGGCGACAAGGCCAGCCTTGAGGACCTCCAGAGGGCCATGGAGCTGTACGAGGTGCAGTGAATGAAGCAAGAGAGGGCGAAGAGCCCGAAGAGCAGACCCCAGCTTCGCGCCTTGGAGCGCATACACACTACAGAGAAGAGAAGGATGAAGCCGCGCGCTGAACGCCGCGAGAATCACACCGCCAGGCCACGAGCAGACACCGACATCAAATCAAGGTGTCTGGCTCGTGTACCTCGAGAAGTGACGGAGGAACACGCATTTCACTTTTGTCTCAGCATTTAGCGTTTCTAGCAACTCGTAACAGACCCCAACAATGGGCTACGATTTCGTACTATACCAACATCATCAATACCAATCTACTATGTTAAACACACGATATTCTCGTTCTTCGCTTTCCAGCCGATGCTAGCCTTGTTCGCTGCTCGGTGCATCTCGTCGCTCGAAAATGTCCGACGCCCGACACGTGATCCGACCCGAGTTCTCCCGGCGGCCGCGCTCCATCACAACACCATCTCCGCGCTTGGGTACTCCACATTCCGACGTCGAGATACGAATGCCGTTGTGGAATAGGACCGAACAGCGCCGTGGTATATGTCGCGACAACTGCGGACTTCGTCCAAGCTAGGCTCACCTTGTAGATAAGGATTCCCAGAGGTTTAAGAGAGTCGATATACGCACTAACTAGGCCTGTCTACTCGCGCTTAGTCCTTATCCGTAATTACAAAGCTCCAGATTTCGCGCCACACTCCACGTGCCAACCGCGCTGGTCTTCTCTCCAAAATCTGCTCTATCCGCGCTCTTTCGTTGTTCCTCGAAGCCTCCGCTTCCATCTCCTCCTGCATCATGGGATCCATGCTCACACTGAGATGCACCTGCTCCTGCTTGAACGGGTCTTCAAAGGTGCTCAGAGGACTCACAATGCCATCGTGCTGGGCGTCCATCTCGTACGAACCAAACCGATGTCGCGGCACTGGAGGTACGGAGACTGGGCCTTCGAGCTCGATGCTGGATAGATCTTCCAGGACGTAGTCTTCCACCGTAAGGTTGCGAAGGTCAACTCTGGATGTTCGGGGGAATATGTACTTGTACGAGAGATACAAAGATCCGAACAAGAAGGGGCCGATATATGCACCAAGAACGTCGAAAGCCAGGCTGATGGTAGATTTCAAGTTGTCCGTGGAAGTGAGGCTGCCTTTCGCAACAAGAATGACCAGTGGCGGAACGCCAGACCATACAAGGACAAAGGCGCTTCCGAAGATCCCGATATATGCAGGCAGTGGTTGCCATCGGGACTTGAACAGGCGTGATATGTAGAGCGGGTGATTGCGACCGAAGATCTGCCGCCTCGCTAAGCGGTCAAGGCCAGCTTTGAAGCGCAAGAAGGTGATGCAAAGAGTGAGATAGATGCATGCCGCAGTGCCTGTGTACAGTTCGGAGAGTGTAATACGCGGCTGTGAGCCAGTCTTGTCCGCCAAGCCTATCAAAGACAAGAACCCGAGTGCTGAGCACAGCAAGATGGCCGCCAAAGGTGTATGCCCATTGTTAGTTCGACCAAAGACCTTTGCGATATTGCTTGGAAGGTACTGCTGTGAAAGCATAAACACGCTACGAGATGCGGCGTAGAGATCGGTGTTGGCTGTAGTGTATGCCGATATGATGAACAAACCGTTCAAAACTTTCGGTAACGCGTGGAGAGAAGATTCCTCGGCTGCGATTACAAACGCAGACTTCGTAGCGTAGTCGCCTCTCGCCCATATCTTCGGAAGCTGCGGGTCGGCGTAGTTGACATTTGCTCCAGCAGCTAGCATCGCGAATGGGTATATGCTGAGCGGAACGATGTAAACGAACGACATGGTGATAGGCACGTCTCTCCAAGGATTCTTTGCTTCACCGACAGTCATAGCAACCAGGTCTGCTCCGAAGCAAGAAAACATGGCTAAGACGATTGAAGTGCTTCACAAGATATTAGCTCTCTGCGGTATCTGGAGGCATGCTAGAAACCCACATGAGAGCGAACAGTGTGCCTCCGGGGCCGGATATACCGAAAGCTTCATCAGGAACGCCAGCCATCTTGAGAGAGACAGGAGTGGTAGTATTGTGGCCAATTGGCTTCCAGTCCGATGTGAATCCGAAGGTCGTATAATCTGCATTGATCAGCGTTGTCACACGTAGCCTGAAGATGTTGAACGTACTCGAATGGTATTCTCCTTGTCTCGGGCCGCCGCCTTGGTAGCGTTAGACACATGGCTATGTTGCATTGAAGCGCGGAAGCATACCGGAGAAGTTCAAGACCACACCCATAACACATACAAGGACCAGTAAGCTCAGTTTGAACCACATGACGACCTAAGTGCTCGTCAGTTCGCTGTTCGTATCGAGAGCCGTCACCAGGGTGATCGAATCCGTGTCGCATGTTGCCGCATACAGATTGCTAACTCTTAGCAAGTAAACACCCTCTAAGCTAAAGTATGCTTCTAGCTTAGTGATAATGTTGTAGAATGCGACACGGATTGGAGCCACCCCTAGTGCTGTTTTACTCTAGGTGACGTACTCGTTCGATCTTGCCATACAGCTGATATAACGTTAGCGAAGTACGCCATTGTCCAATGGGATAGCTTACCTTGACGCCGAGGCAATGGGAAAGGGTAGTCAGGGCGATGAACGCGATATTGATAGCTGCCTCAGCACCTGCAGAATGCGGTTTTGGGTCGCTCTTCAGAAGCGCAGTCAGCTCCGCCGAACTCGCTGTAAGAGTAGCCATCGCACAAATCTTGCCTAGCCTAATGGTCGTCAGCGGCGCCTTTCAGAAGTTTCTTATTAATACTCACCCGTACATAGATGCGATAGCGAAACCGCAGGCTGGGTCTAAGAACGTGTGAGGCAGATCAATGAGAGCTCCGGTCAACGGTCGACATGCAACCATCTCAGTGATAGTGTACATGACGCAAGCGACGATACCACCTGCGATGACATAGCTAATAGCAGCCCCTAAAGATCCAGTAGTAGCGATGAGTGCACCAGATGTAATGAAGATGCCTCCGCCTATGCAACCGGATATGCCAATGCCTGGGGAGTTAGCAACCAGCGTACTTGTTGATTCACTCTTTTGGCGCTCACCTGCCAGCTGAGGCCTACTGAGAACACGGTCAAGATGTTCTGAATGGGTCACATAGTATGGCGATCTGTCAAGGGGACGCTTTTCTTCAGCCATTTTGCGTGTGATTCCCAGGCGAATCCGTACCGAAGTACGACCTCGTCAGGCTGAGGATGTTTGCGAACTAACTATGAAGGTTGACTGCGACCTTGAACTAGAAAAAGATGCTTGCACGACGAATGCAAACCCTCGTGACTATTTGGCCTTCATTCGGCACGTCTTCAGCTTCACTCTCCAAACCAATTGTGGCGGGGCTTAGACCATACCGGTCGGCCTCTCTGTCTGCCTTACGTGTTGTCCACCAACGCCAGAGTGACTGGAAAGATAGGCTTCGTGATGAGGACGGTACATGGGCACGCGACTTGGTATTGCTGTGATTGGTCAGAAAGGCGGGATATCGGGGAAAGATAACCAAGGTTGCACATGCTCGTATGCACAAGGTTGCTAGGCCAAACTAAGTGCGCCACGGTCGACAAACATTGGTGGATGGTGCAGGACGTCCTTTCAGCCGCGCCTTAGTTGCGTTCCGGTGTACATTTCAGGCTACGTGTTGCAGCTAGGCGACAACTATGGTAATTGATAGGGCCGAACTACATTGTGGAGACAGCGTCCCCCATAGTGATTATTGCTTTCCTCTAGGTGGGCGTTCTGTGTGGACTTCCTGTGCAATACAAACAGGATATTGCCAATGCAGCTGATAACGGGTACGCCGCATGCGGACGAGATCGCGAGCTGAAAGTATGTCAGATAGTGTCACGTCCTTGACCTACATACATTCAAGGCTCTCCAGGGATGACGCTTTGGTTAACTCCCAGCTAACGGTTTTCCAGTGATGATTGCAGTTAGAGTGCATTGACGATGTCCATATCCAGCAGCTCTACCGGCCCTTCGGCGCGTCGCTCGTCGTTAGCGATGGACTACTTCCAGGTGTATTCAGCCTCATCAGGATCGCAGTCGAGTAATCTGCTACAACGACCAAGGCGGCTGTCGTTTCTGAATGCACCCGATTTCGCGACGTCGATCTCATCGTTAGGATGGGTGGCAACATGCTCATCGAAGCAGATACGGTTATACGACGTGAAGAGCGCGAACAGAAGTCGGACTATCCAGCCCAAAACCGTCTTGAATATTTCGATGATTTTGAAAGATGAGGAGATCCGTGGAATTGCTCTCTCTGAGGATTTGCTCGCAGTGATCACCCACAATCGATTGCTGGTGTATGACGAGTATCGCACAAACAACGGCCATGTGCCTAGCCTCGTGAGAGAAGAGCGGATTGACCAGGACGGAGACTGGACCCCGAGATCCGTGTCGATCTCACAACTTGGACGCCAGTCTGCCGAGGGAGGAGCAACGGCGAGCATCGCAGTGGGTGGAGAGGGAGTGAGTGCAGTGAAGATCTTCACATACAGGTACATGCCGGCCTGGAACGTTCAGGGCGACCATGTAGTCCTGAAGTGTCCTCAAAACAACGGTGCTGTCAAGATTGTCGGATTTTCGCCCTGTCGGAGTGATGCCATCTATGGGCCAATGGTGTTTGCTTTGACAACAGGGAATCACTTGTATTGCTGGATCGTCGCTCGGAACGTAGGCCACCAGCAGAATATTCGCCCGGATCCTTGCTGGCACGTTGACTGCAATGCGAGAAGCAATGAACGCGTAAGTGACATGTTCTAAGACCCGGCGCAAAGCTGACTCCCGGCAGGCGTATCGCGATGAGATAACGAATGCGGCTTTTACCATCTCTCCGAACGGTCGACCCTACATCCTCTGCACCGTCGACCACCAACCACGTTCACACCTCCCAGCGACCTTCCTCGTGGCAATCGACACTCTTGGCTTCGATCCACACGTTCTCCGTCAACCAATAAAGCCCATTCCTGATAGGGTAGTCGGTACGAGCGTTGTCGCTGGAGTTGCGAGCTTCAACGGCAGGTTTCTAGTGGTTGTAGAAAGGGAGAGGAATAGAGACAAGATGAAGCTGCTGACGCTTCAGGGTGCACTTGGGGGTGGCCTAACATGTTCCGCTGCCCACACAACAATGTGGGAAGTCGAGCTGCAGAGCAACAATACCGGATCTTCAACGATCTCAATCATGATAGAAGAGCAGCAGGATGCCCTGGAGATCATCGCGGTGGATGGACGCGGCCATGTCGTCTATTCGGGCGTGAGGGTGCTGGGCATGCCACGGGGCCCAATTCGGCCCATGGCGCCACCTAGAAGCTCCATCGTTTCTGAGCTCCCGTTCGACCCGATCAGAAGAGAATTGTCGTCGGACGAAAGTAGCCGTCACTCTGTCACACCTTCGTATCGGGGGATGAACAGCCTCGAAATTATTCCTGGTTGACTGATGGCGATGACTTGAGCCATTGCCATAGCCCTTTCGAGAAGTGGTAGATGCAGGCGCGATGGACTGTTGTGGGTATGGTGTTCATGTGAGCGGGTAATAGAAGTTGCACGATGGTCGCGTCAGTATCGCGTCGCGGACTAGTGCCAGCTGACTAAGCCTACATCCGTCATCTCCAGGCTCCATCTCTCACGATCGGCAATCGCAACCCAACTCGCCCTGTCCATCCGCTCGCACACACACAACACCAAAAATGTCGCGTTGGCGGAAGAGGTCCCATCTCTCCGAGATTTTATGATCGCCAGCCAAAGGCCGAGATGGTGTCGCTTATGATGCCTCATAACCGTCACCAGCACGCGGCTTGAATGCGATGGGACGACCTTCACCAACACTCCAAAGCTGTTTCCCGGATTAGCAATTGTCGAGAATTGCGCCTTAGGTACAGCAAGCGTGCTTCCAGACGTATCTTGGCGGAGTAGCAGCGAGCGCCCAAGGCCGCTTCGCGCTTACCAGTTTGTTCCCTCAACCCACGCAGCGTATCTCGCTTTCCACATGGAGGGCTACTCATGCCAGACATGCGAGGTGGAGGAAAGCTCGATAGGTGGACAATACAACGTGTCTGGCATATATAGCTACTCACCCTCAACACTCAAGACACTTCTTCTATCACCCATTTCTTCCTACTGATCGCACACTACCTAAAATTCTAGTCATACTCTGACACTCCTGTTCAGTGCTCCAACAAGCCTACACATCAGCTACCAAGACAGCCCTCTCGAGACGATTCACGGCACGCTCCCATCCAAAGATGATGTTCCGCGCCGCTCTTCTATGCTTCGCTGCACTCTTCTCGCAACACGCTTCTGGCGTACCATACCCACAGCCAAACTCGACATTGCTCGCGAACAACACAATCTGTAACTCCACCGTCCGCTTTTGCGAAGGCGATCCCAACGCCGTCAACCCTCCTTCCCTCGGTTCGGGAGAATACGTATGCCACGAAGTTTACCCGACCGATCTCTCTGTCATCAACGCGCGCTACCCCGATTACGACGTCGACCACCTCCACCAAGCCAAGCAGTTCTTCATGCTACGTCGTCAGGTCAAAGATGCTGGAGAGATTGCGACGCGAGTACAGTTTCAAGGCCTACCGAACAGCACGTCAAACTACACCTGTCGTCTCGAATTCGTCCTCCCCCGCCTTGAGCTCCAGAAGATCTCTGGCCCGAACCCAAGCTTCCACGTATACCAAGTCGAGCGCGAAGCCGGTGCGATCGCCACATGGAATACATACGAGGCAGAGAAGAACGCACTGTTGTTCGGTACGGTCAACGGCGAAAGCCAGGCGCTCG